CCAACAGAGTAGGAGGGTTCCCTTTTTTCCACACCCTCTCCAGAATTTATCATTTGTGGATTTTTTGATGATGGCCATTCTAACTGGTAGACTCACCTTTCTTAACTTAGCTGATGAAAAGTGAAGGCCTTTTTTCATTAGAGGAACTTCCTCTGTTACAAAAGAGCAAGCACACAAAAAACTCTGTAGAGAGGAAAATTCTAGGTGGCAGATCCTCTCAGGCTAACTTGGCTTCACCTGAAGGATTTCTTAGCAGTGGGACCACTGGGTTTCTCTAGGCCAGCTGCCAAGTCTCATGTTTTCCTTTAGGTGGGAGAGACTGGCGCATGTCAGTTGACCACATGTCCCTTGGCCCTGTCTTGTTCTCCTGCTCATCACTGCCGCTGTCCTCATGTGCAGCTTCCACTTATCCTATGGCTGCCTGTTGTTGCAGGTCTTGACTAGTGTATGAGGGTTCTCCAGGGGAACAGAACCAGTAGGATATGTCTATATATCTCTATATAGATGTGTGAGGATATTTATTATGGGAACTGGCTCCCATAAATAGAGGCTGAGAAACCCCACAAAATGCCATCTGCAAGCTGGAGACCCAGAAAAGCTGGGGGTATAATTCAGTCTGAGTCTGAAAACCAGAAAGCCTCTGGTGTAAGCCCCAGAGTCAGAAGGCCTGATTGCCAGGAGCTCCAATGACTAAGGCCCCAAGAAGAGAGAGAGAGAATTCACCCTTTCTCCACTTTTTTGTTCTCTTAGGGCCCTCAACTGATTGGAAGATGACCATCCATGCTATTAAGGGCAGATCTTTACTCAGTCTACTGATTCAAATGCTATTCTCTTTTGGAAACACTGTCACAGAATCCTAGGAGTAATGTTTTACCAGCTATCTGGGCATCCCTGAACCCAGACACATAAAATTAACCATCACAAACAGTTCTTCAGGGTGAGACTGAAGCAGCTCTCAACATCTTCATTCTGTACTTCTTCAGATACAAACTATCACAATTTGAGTTTGTCAGGAGGTCCAAACCCTACAGAATTATGAATGAAGTCTCACACATGCAAGCACTTGATACATCGTTCCACAGACTCCGCAATAATGTCAGTGTCAACTTTGCTATTAAATTGTCTCTGAAATTCCAGAATGTGGCAGCAATTAACATCTTGAAAATTCATCTTAAGTGAGTGAGATAAGCATTCATGCTGCAATCACACTGATTAAAAGGCTGTGATAGGTAGTGTTATGATGTAAACCAACGACATGTTGGAGAGAGCTCAGTAACTGTTGGAGGAGGTCTTGCAAGAATAATAAGAATTTTGAAATTTGTTTCTTGGTCAGATTTAGTCCTAAGTATTTTATTGTTTTGGATGCGATTTTAAAAGGGATTGTTTCTTTACTCTCTTTTTCTGATATTTCATTGTTAATGTAAAGAAATACAACTGATTCCTATATGTTAATCTTGCATCCTGCTACCTTATCAGATTCTTCTATCAGCTTTAGTAGTTTTTCTGTTGAAATTTGTTTCTTCTTGCAATAATTTGGAAATGTATCCTGGGAAACATTAGCTAAAATAAAAATTATCTACTAAGTCATCCAGCCTCTTTGGCTAGACCTGAAGTGAACAGCAAAGTTGGACTTAACAGCATTTTTAAAACCATCAGATTAAACCAGGAATAAACTGGTTTCATCGCCAGGCCCTTGCTGGGGCTGGAGCCAAACATCACCAGGTACATGTGTCCTCCTATGAGGTGTTGGTCCTTGAAAAAAAAAAAAAGTATTTTTTGCTCACCGTGGTATGAAGCCTGAAATAGTGCTTTTGCAACACTTTAAGTCTGGTTTATTGAGGTATAATTTACATATAGTAAACGTCACCTTCCTTTGGTGTACAGTTCTGAGTTTTGACTAATGTATACAGTCATATAACCAGCACAGGTGAGAATTTTCATCATCCCAACGTTCCTGGCACCATTTTGTCGTCAGTCTCAACACCCTAGACTCAGACTCTGGCATCAATAGATCTGATTTTTTTTTAAAAAGTTTATCTTTTCCAGAATGTGGCCTTTTGTGGTCTGGCTTCTTTTACTCAGCATGATGTTTTTGAGATTCACCTATGTTGTGCCACGGGCATTTTAAAACTTTATTATGGAAAATTTCGAACATATAAAAGTCAAAGAGCATAATAGATGGCGTTGTGTCTAACACCAAATTTCAACAATGATCAACCCAGAGCCCGTCTTATTTCATCTACGCCCTTCCCATCAAGTAGCAAATCCCAGTTATATCATTTCATCTATAGGCATTTCGAAGCGTCTTCACTAAAAATTTAGGATTTTCTTGTGGGCTTTTAAATTTTTTTTAGTTGTTGTTAACGATGGTACTATTATCCCACTTATTTCAGATTAAACTTTTTTGCAAGACCCTTTCATAGCAGATGGTGCTTATTTCCTTTTGCGGCACACTAGGAAGCACGGAAGTTCTGGGACTCCCGGATTTTGACCATAAGGCTCGGAACCGCATTCCCGGAAACCACCTGAAGGGGGCAGGGCCGCCTCGCATGTGTAGCGGTGCGCGTGCGCAGAAAGGCGCACCATCTCGGCTGCCATAGTTCGCCTCGTCACGTGGGTGTCCCGTCGTCATGGCGGCCGTTGGGAGGCCGGTGCTCCTCGGGCTTCGAGACGCCGCAGTGCGCGGCCGCCCTACGGGGCCCGGCGCCTGGACCGCGAGCAAGCTGGGCGGCGTTCCGGTGAGGTGGGGCGCCGGAGCTGGGGCTTGGCGGGTGCTGATGGGCTACGGGGTGAGGGAGTGGGCGAGGTGCCGGGACAGAGTCAGGGTCCGAGCGCCTCCTCTGCCCTCAGGACGCTCTGCCCGCCGTGGCAGCGCCGAGGCCAGCGTGTGAACTTTGCCGGCAGCCGCTGGCGCTGGCCGTGCAGGTGTACTGCCCGCTGGAAGGCTCCCCGTTTCATCGGCTTGTGCACGTGTTCGCTTGCCCCCGCCCCGGGTGCGGGAGCGGCGGGGCGCGCAGGTAGGCGGGCAAGTCCTGGAGCAGCCCTGGAGGGTTTGTGCCGAGTGGGCGGGGCGCACCGGAGGGGCTGGGCAGCGGGGTGGCAGTCGGGGATGGAGCCCTCACCGCAGCTTTTCTTTACTGTGAAGTTGGAAGGTGTTCCGCTCCCAGTGCCTGCAGATGCGGGAGACAGAGACGCAGGACGCTCAGGTAAAGTGGTTGTGACTGTCACATTATGATTTGCTGTAATTTGAGGGTACTTTCCAGAATCTCGTTGAAGACAAACTTTAGGCTTTGTTCTTTGAAGTACGTTGGAATGATTTTTGCTCTTTTTTTAACCAAAAAATACTATTTCCTTAAAGTCTTGTTAGATGTTTTAATACACACTGAAGATATGGATGTACATAGCTTACTGATTTTTCTGTTTTGGAAAAAGTATGGGTGTGCAAACATGCATGGTTATATATGTGTGTGTTTATAGTAAATATAATATGTACATAACAAGTGCATTTAATAAGGCAAAACTTGAATTTATTGAATTAAAAAAATCAGGCAAGTTGGTAGCTACAGAACAAAATTCAGCCTCCCTTTGCTAGTAAATGTCTCTTTATGTATACAGAGTTCTTAATGTGTGCCAAGCATAGTACTAGTTATATTATAGAGTCCAAACTCGTTCTGCTCGCTGCAGGACTGGCCAGTAAATCGGGAGATGAGGTGTTGGGGCAAGGAATAGCGACTTTATTCAGAAAGCCGGACAGAGAAGGTGGCAGACTAGTGTCCTGGAGAACCATCTTACTCAAGTCAGAATTCAGGCTCCTTTAGTACTAAAAAGGTTGGTTGTTGCAAACTTCTTGGTGTAGGAATTCTTTGTTCTTGCAGCTGTCCACTTGGGTCCGGTCATGGTGCCCCTGCAATAAAACAAACGTTA